AATCACTTACATTATACTCAAAGTATAATGTGCCAAAATATTGCATGAACCTAATATATCACTCTCTGTGAAACTACTCATTCTGTATTCCATCAAGGATTTTAATACTACAAATGAAAGAGTCCTACCTAGAAGTAATGAACATTAAATAATGGATTATGGACATAATGAATAACAATGGCTGGATATAATTCCTTAAATATAAATATATACTTATGTGACCCTGAGGAAGTCTCTGAACTTCTAAACCTCGGTTACCCTCTGCAAAATGCAGAGGCACTCAATAAATGATCTCTGCCACGATTATTGTGACTATGGTTTTATTTGCATAATTATGGTAACTGTCATTCTCAAAGTACTTTTACATTTATTATTCATTCATCCAACGAGTACTCCTAGAGAGTCTACCAAATGCCAGGCACTGGGGAAACTGATAACGGGTCAAGGGCTCATCAGGCTCACAGTAATTGAAAGGTAGTCTTGATCAAATAATACCAAAAGTGTACCAAGGGCCACCCGGAATTGTGCACGGTCTCGGGACCGTAACATTACTCACGGGCCATGCTCTGGAACAGGAGCTTCACTTCACTTTATCACACTAGTGCCTCAGAGCAAGGGCTAGGGTGGGCTGGGCAGGCGTTTCACAGATGAGGAGTCTTCATGGTTACACAGCCTGGCTGGGACCTCCTGCTCCTGCCGTGGCCACCGCTGGGTGACCTGAGCCGAGCCGGGCCTGTTTCTGAGCAGGGAAGGAGGAGATGCTGAGCCAGCGGGACTACGAGTCGGCTTCACTACAGGAGGTGAGGGCGTTGCTGCGGCGCCACGAGGCCTTCGAGAGCGACCTGGCAGCGCACCAGGACCGCGTGGAGCACATCGCTGCCCTGGCCCAGGAACTCAAGTAGGCGGCAGGGATCGAGGGTGCCCGCCCCCGGTGATGAAGTCCCTATAGCTGGCCCCGCCCCTCGGCCCCGAGCCCCGCCCAGCTCCCATTGCCCTCAAGACCTTTTGCACTTCCCAGTTTGGTAACTCTGCTTTGGTACCCACATCTTTCCCCATCACCAGTAGTCCTGTTCCCATTCCAGACCCCGCTCTGCCACCCACACTCTTCCCCCACTGGCACCTGGCCTTCCGCTAACCTGGTGGCTCCCTTCAGCTTCAGGAGGTCAAGTCCTCACCATCAGCCTTGGCCTCACACCATCTCCTGTAAACCTGCAGCTGAAACTCCAGGCCTAGCCCCTCTACCCGTGCTCCTCCAGGGCCTGGAGCTGAGGACCTGCAGGAGACCTCCTTCTCCCAGGAAGGGACCCCCCCTGCTATAGGAAAGCCCTGCTTCACCTCCACTTGCCCTGGATCCCTTACGCCTTCACCATCACTGGGCATGGGTTCCAGCTCCCTGAGGGCAGTCAGGAAAAAATCTGGGTTGGAGTCTGGCCCCACAGTTGCCCCTGCTTCCCGCCCCTAGTGAGCTGGACTACCACGAGGCAGCCTCAGTGAACAGCCGCTGCCAGGCCATCTGTGACCAGTGGGACAACTTGGGCACGCTGACCCAGAAGAGGCGGGATGCACTAGAGGTGAGGCTGGGGGCCAGGCAGATGGAAGCTGGACACTGGAGGAAGGTGAGGTGTTGCTGGGCAGGCTGCTAACTGGACATGCTGGTGGCCCCTAGAGGATGGAGAAGCTCCTGGAGACCATCGACCAGCTGCAGCTGGAGTTTGCCCGGCGGGCAGCACCCTTCAACAATTGGCTGGACGGAGCAGTGGAGGACCTGCAGGACGTGTGGCTGGTGCACTCGGTGGAGGAGACCCAGGTATGGGGGCATTGGATGGGATGATAGGGAAGTGGCCTGTCTTCTTCAGCCACCACTTTGGGCTCCTGGGGAGTGGTGGGGCAGGAGGAAAACCCCAGTTCCCGAGTGCTGGGAGACAGGAGGCCTGGGTTGTCCTGCCAGCAATGCCCTGGACCCGCTGGATGGCCTGGAGCACATTGCTGCCCCAGCTATTGTCTGTGGGAAGCAGGAGCTGACACTTCCTGCCTGTCGTCCCCAGAGCCTGCTGACGGCACACGAGCAGTTCAAAGCAACGCTGCCTGAGGCCGACAGAGAGAGGGGCGCCATCCTGGGCATCCAGGGTGAGATCCAGAAGATCTGCCAAACGTACGGGCTGCGGCCCAGCTCCACCAACCCCTACATCGCCCTCAGCCCGCAGGACATCAATACCAAATGGGACACGGTCAGTTCCACCTGTGGCCTTTCCCTGCCTCCCTCCTGCTCCGATGCATTCTAACCACCCTGAGAGGCTCAAATGTCCTCAGACATGGAGAGAGATCTGGGGTCTGCTAGACTCCATGTGGCACTGGACAGGTCCCCTTGCCTGACTTGGCCACATCTGTAAAATGGCTATAACAGCAGTGTTTTCATTGTGAAGCAGAACATTCATCAGTGTGAAGCAGAATTAGATCTGGAGTTTGGACATCCTTTACAAAACAATCTAAGTTCATTAGGAATGACGTCACGGGCCCCATTTTACAGATGAGGGAACAAGCCTGGAGAGGCTGAGTGACTTGCTTGAGAGCTTGCTCACTAGAGCCCTGCCACCTGGCTCAGAGCAGCAGGAGCTGTATGAGGGGCTGGAGCCATATCCTGGCTCCCAAAGCTGCCCTGGCACAACCACCCTCCTCCTCAGGTCCGCAAGCTGGTACCCAGTCGTGACCAGACACTGCAGGAGGAGCTGACACAGCAGCAAGTGAACGAGAGGCTCCGGCGACAGTTTGCAGCCCAGGCCAATGCTGTCGGGCCCTGGATCCAGGCGAAGGTGGAGGTAAGGCTTGGACAGTGGAGCCCACCTGGGAGAGTGGGGCTGGGACTGGGCCCCAGGGAGGCGGGAGCACTCATGCAGCCCCGGTCCCCCTGCAGGAAGTGGGGCGCCTGGCAGCGGGGATGGCTGGCTCTCTGGAGGAGCAGATGGCTGGGCTGCGGCAGCAGGAGCAGAACATCATCAACTACAAGAGCAACATTGACCGGCTAGAGGGTGACCACCAGCTGCTGCAGGAAAGCCTGGTGTTTGACAATAAGCACACCGTCTACAGCATGGAGGTGAACTCACCACCCCCCAGAAGAGAGGGGAAGTGACACTGGCTGGGGAAGCCTGCAGCGGCCACAGCTGGACTCAGCACATCTGCCCCAGGAGGGTCTCCAGTTCAGCTGTCCAGGTCCCCCAACATACCCATGGGGATGGGGATACTGAGACCCAGCAAGTGACAGTGATCCGTCCAGAGTCACACAGCAGTCTAAAACCAGGCCCGGTTGGCTGTGGCAGGTTGACCAATATGTAATACATACTAAGTCATCAAACTTTGAGGCAGGAAGGGCTGCTGGACTTCATTCAGTGGAACCTCCAGATGGGAACAGAGGCCCAGCAAGGGGAGGACTTGCCCAGGGTCATACAGTGAATTGGGGGTGGAGCTAGAGGCTAGGCCCTGGCCACCCATTGACCTGGCCTGTCTCCTGCTTTCCCAGCACATCCGCGTGGGCTGGGAGCAGCTGCTCACCTCCATTGCCCGCACCATCAACGAGGTAGAGAACCAGGTACTGACCCGCGATGCCAAGGGCCTGAGCCAGGAGCAGCTCAACGAGTTCCGGGCATCCTTCAACCACTTTGACCGGGTGAGTAGGGGCCTAGCCCCATGTGGTGGTGGACTTGGGGGCAGTGGGGTTTGGGGATTGAGCCTGACATCCTCTGACCCACTCAGAAGCGGAACGGTATGATGGAACCCGATGACTTCCGGGCCTGCCTCATCTCCATGGGCTACGACCTGGTGAGTGTCCCCCATGCCCATTGAGGAGTCCCATCCATGTCTCCCTCCTACGTACTGACCCCAGTTGTGTCCCTCCCACCTTCACATACACCATCTCATTTCCTCCTCATCACACCCACTGGGGCTGGGAAGAATTACCCCATTTCACACAGGGGCCACAAAAGCTCAGAGAGGTAAATTAACTTGCTCAAAGTCACTAGATTTGGACTTAGTTCTGCATGATTCCAGAGCTTGAGCTTGCAACATTTCCACTTCAGAGAAGCAGCACTACAGAGCGGCCCAGGAAAAAGATCAGGACCAACAGGCAGCAGGGGTTATTGCTGGGGCAGGAAGCAGAGCTCAACCTAGTAGAAAGGATCTTCTCAAGCCAGAGCTGACTCAGGCTGCAGCAGACGGCCTCCAGAGGAAGGGGGCACCTCATCACGGGGGTTGTCAGACCAAGGCTAGACAGTCCCCAGGAGGGGACACCAGGAGCCCTCCTGACTTAAGCACCCACCGGCACGGTGCCCGGCCTCTAACCTTGCAGGGGGAAGTGGAATTTGCTCGAATCATGACCATGGTGGACCCCAATGCGGCCGGGGTCGTGACCTTCCAGGCCTTCATCGACTTCATGACCCGAGAGACAGCCGAGACCGACACGGCTGAGCAGGTTGTGGCCTCCTTCAAGATCCTGGCAGGAGACAAGGTGAGTCCCTGGCGGTGGAGAGGGCTGGCAAGCTGGGACAAGGCACAGGACCTGTAGGCCCTCAATACCTCTTCTCCCCTAGAACTACATCACCCCTGAGGAGCTGCGGCGGGAACTCCCAGCTGAGCAGGCCGAGTACTGCATCCGCCGAATGGCACCCTACAAGGGGTCCGGGGCTCCGGCGGGCGCCCTAGACTATGTGGCCTTCTCCAGTGCCCTATACGGGGAGAGCGACCTCTGACTTCGACCCCTACGCCAAGTCTGGAGAGAGGGTACCTCCTCTGGCTGAGCCCATCCATCCCTCAGAGCAGGGGCCCCGGAGAAAGACCAGCCAAGTGTTTCTGAATAAAGATGCATCGTGGGCCTTTCTCCATCTCCTTCTGGTTCCTGAAGCAGAGGCTGGGCCCCTGGGCTTCTGGGCAGGACCAGCTGCCCAACCATGATTCTCCAGGGGTCCCCACCACCCTGCCTTGCCCTCAAGGACCAAGCATTCACACCACACTGGGGCCCAGGACACCTCTTTATTGTGTTAGAAAAGGTGGGTTACAATAGTTTCTCTAGATATGGAAGGCAACACTGCCCCCAGATCCAGGGGGACCAGAAAATTTATAGCATCAGAGGAAAGCCAGGGCAGGAAGCCAGAGCCTGCTGAGGACAGAGCTGGGTTTAAGACCACAGTATTTTCTTCCCACTTGCTCCTTACCCGAGCCCAGGGTTCTTGCCCCAGCTTCGGCTGCCAAGACTTCATCCTTCACCCCAAGGTCCTCCTAGCTACCATAATTCAACAAAGGTGCAGTTGGGGAACTTCAGGGTAGGTGGGTGGGGGTCGGGGGAGGGGCTGTGCCCTGAGCCCAGTGGCCTTTGCTCACCCTCAGGTACCTGGTGCCCGTCCCTCAGCCAGCTGTGCCTCCTGTGGAGGGGCCTGGCCACGCAGGTCAGGCAGGAGAAGGGGCTGCTCTGGTCACCACCAGGTCCTGAGTGCTGCACCTCAGTTCACCACTGCTGAGCTGGCCATGGTGTTCACACCACAGGCCCCGGACCCACGGTGCAGGTAGTAGTACCCCTGGGAGAGAGGGGGCACTGGTGAGGGCACCAGGGAAGGATAGGGGCTGGAGGGCTAGGGCCAAGCAGGCAAGACTCACCTCCTCGCCCCAGTCAGTGCCCCAGCTGTTCTTGATGGCCCAGAAGGGGACAGCAGAGCCTGGGGAGCAGTGCAGAGTGCAGGGAGTCAGGGCCCCAAGCACTCTGCACTCATTTGTGGGCCTACTGTGGGACCAGCACTAGGAAAAGAGCAGAAAGCAAGACAGGCCCACCTGCCACCCTCCTGGAGACCTGGTGTGGCTCTGGGGATTGGGGAGAGCACCCATCCATCTGCCTCCAGCAGGTTATTCATTCATAATAGCTCAACCCCCCACCACCTCTGCTTTCCCATTCACAGAGAGGATGGATGGTCCATAGCCCGAGGCACAGGTAAGGCCAAGGTTCCGAGGCATTCCCCCAAACTCCCCCTCCACAGGTCCTGAGATGCTGTGGTCCACCCTCTGCCTGTGACCTGGGGTGAAAAGGCCCAGGAGGGAGGTCACTGGGTCAGCAGAACTCACGGTTGCCGAAGCCCACAAGCAGCACAGCATGGTCGATGAGCCAAGGGCTGCAGAGGGGCCGCAGCGGGTGCGAGATCCCGTGGCGGTAGAACTGAGGAGGAGAATAAGAGTAGGGGACCAACTCCAAGGAGTGGGGGAGGAGTCGGCAAGTGATGGGGCAGGAGCAGTGGGGCCAGGGACCTCACCTGCATGCCAAAGGCGTTGATGGCAACGGAGACGGGGCCCTTCTTGGCCAGCCAGGCCGCCAGCTCTGGACAGGGGAGGAGCAGCGTCAGGGACACCTGGGCCTGCCCCACCTGGCCTGTCCTCACCACACTGCCCCCAACTCACTTTGCTCATTCTTGCTCAGCTCCACTGAGTCATTGATGTAGACCTTGGCCTTCTCTGCAGAGAAATTGCAGGTCTGCAGGTGGCCACGGTAGCTGTAGTCATCCTCTGTCTCTAGCCCTCCTGGGGGATGGTGGGGGCAGATCAGGGGGTTAGAGGAAAGGTGGACCCCAGTTCACCCTACTCATCTTCTTCCAGCTAGGGGCTGTGCTAAGCCCCTTATACACAAGGTCTCACATTCTTCACCCACCCCAGGTGACAGGCCATCCTCCCTGAGCATAGCCTTGTTCTAGAGATGATGCAACTGAGCCCCAGAGGGATGGGGGGGTCACCAGGGAGAAATGTGGCAGAGGTGGCACTCAACTCCCAACTTCTGACTCACTCATCCCAGCACTCCTAGGACTCTTGACCTCGGCTTGCTTGTTCTGCTCTGACAGCCTGCTCCCCAGCTGGCCCAGGCCCCTGCCAGGCTCGAAGACCACTGCTCAAATGAACTGCCAACTTAGCTCAGTATCTCCCCTCAAGGCTGAGGTGTGCTGCTGCCTGGTCTAGCAGCGTTACAGGAATACAGAGCTCCAAGCAGTAAAAACACCAAGACCCCTGGCTCTGCACCAGGAACTGTACACACATTTCCTCACTGACACTCAAGGCAATGCTACAAAGTGGGCATGAGGCATTCCATGTCACAGATGAGACATCTGAGTCTCTGACAGAGCTGACCTGCCCAAGGTCTTCAGCCAGTAAGGGTCCGCATTAAGACCTGAACCCAATTCCCGTGACTGCCACACCTATGTCTCTCCCCTTCACAAACTGACTACTTGTGGAGGGAGCGGTGGCTCCTCCCGCCCCTTCCAAACCCCGGGGATGCATACCCAGAATCTTTATGGCAGAGTAGGCGTTGGAGGGCAAACCACCCAGGCAGGCCTTGTCCACCTTGTCACAGTCCAAGAGCTCTAGGAGACAGAAGGCCAGTCCCAAGGAGCCCTCTGGCGGGACTGGGCTGGGGACAGGGGGACAGAGCGGGATGCTCACCCTGCTCAGAGAGGGAGAGCAGGGCCCCCCGCTTTAGGAACCACTGGCCTTCCACGTTGCCTGTGACTGAGAAGGCCCAGCAGGAGCCGCACATTCCCTGCAAGAGACGGGGAGAGTCAGGGCTGGGTCCCTTCCAAACGCCAGTGCAGTCCTCATGCCCCACCTCATTTCTTAGGGGTCCCAACCTGGTCCTTGACTTTGGTGACAGCTCCCTTACTCCTCCAGTCCCACTCAGGGGGAGGAAGGTCGGAGATGGACTTGGCCAGGGGCATCTTCTGGCCAGGCTCTTCCTTCAGCAGGGGATTCAGGTAGATGGTGCGGAACTCCTCCTCTGCGGGCAAAGGTGGGCCGGGGTGGGGGAAGAGTATACTAAGCCAGTCTGATGAGGGGCCTTGGCAGCAGGCCCTGTCTCTTCCAGGCACCGTGAGGGCTCTAGCCACCACCCCTACCTGTAAGGTCACTAAACTTGGTGACCCCATACTGAGCTGTCCCACGGTCCAGGGCCTGGATCTTCTGTGCTCGCACCATGTTACTGGCAAAGACGGACATGCGCCACCTAGCTTCTGAGAACCGAGGAGGAGAGGAGAGGCTTGTGCCCCAGGCAGATCATAAAAACAGAGGTGCTTGGGGATCAGAGGCAGAGGTTTCCCTGGGGAAAGGTGGGCTCTGGATCAGGCCTGAAGCTTATTTCAAGAAGAGAACACGAGTTGGTGGGGGTGGGGGTGGGTGAGAGACCCGCAAGTGATACGAGAGGGGCCACCCTGGGGTGGTGACTTCCCAGGTATGAAGGCAGAAACAAAATGGGCTCCAAAGGATGTCCCCAGCCAAGAGGTTGTGGGAAAAGGCCACCATCCCAGGGGGGCTCCAGCAGAGAAAATCTGGCCTTTGCCCCTCCCACTGTACCCAGAATGATGGAGACCTATGGTTTCTGACCGAGAAAATCAGATGGGAGAAGGGACCAGGTACCTGAGGTGGCTACCAAGTCCTGGGAGGTTGGGAAAGAGCTTGGGGATACAGAGGTCCTTGAAAGGATGCACTGTCTCTTGTGCCTGTCCCCTCCCAAACACCAAGTGTGTGGGGGGGAGGGGGCCCTGGTCTGACTGGGACAGAAACAGCCAAGGCGGGGTCCTCACCCTCCTCTGTTTCATATGTCCGGTTATAGGCGGTGACAAAGTCCTTGAAGATGGAAGTCATCTTCACAGAAAAGTCCTGGAAAGGCAGAGGGGTCTTTACAAAGAGTCCTTCTCAGACTGAACAGGGAATCTCAAGCCAGGGTGAGGGCAAGAGAGGGGGCATAAAGCAGCAGTCAGCTCTCCAGACACAGACAGACGCCTCACCTGGGGCAGGGGGTCCTTGTTCAAGAGTGGAAGGAATGAACTGAAAGTGTCATTTCTGTCATCTGGATTGGGTTGGAACAGAGAAGAATCAAGATTGAACCCTGAGTGAAGTCTGATCTGAGCCATCCCCGCACCTCTGGGCTGTCCTAGCACCTGTAATCTTGGTATCCACGGGGCCACAGTCCCGCCTCAGCAGCATGTGTTTTCCTAGCTCATCCAGGACTTCGAAGCTGCAGAGCTGGAGCAAGAGGAGGAAGCCAGTCAGGGGGCTGGGACGGGAGCAAGGCCTTGGCAAGATGTAGCTGGAGGGTCCTCAGAGGACCACCTCTAAGGCAACTGCCTCCACGGTGGAGATCAAGGACAGTCAGCAACCAGACACCCTCCCCTTTTATAGCATCCTGGTCTCTGGCCTTCCAGGTCTGGGAAGTGACTCAGGGTTAGGTAGCTGCTGCCTCAGATCCCTCCCTCTTGACTTGACCCATCATCCCAACTACTGCCAGACTCAGTCTCGGGGAAGGAAATCTCAGGAACCCCATCACTTACGAGGGTTTCCTTGGACACAGGGAGCTGGCACACCGTGGGGTCGTTGCAGGGTGGCTCCACCAGCGTTGCCTTTAGGGAGTACAGCGATCCCTGGCCTGCCTGGATGGAGGAGCGGGTAAGGCGGGCAAGGCCACTCCCTCCTCAGCCCGGTCTTCACTAGACCCAGCCCCACGCAGCTCTTCCCCTTCCCAATCACTAGAGGTCCAACGACCCCACCCCAAGTCAGGCGTCCAAGACCCTCACCCCAAGTCTAGCCCAAAGTTCCCAACCCTCGGACGAGGGCCCTGCTCACCCCGGGCCTGGAAGCCCCAGTCCCAGCACGTCCTTACCCGGGGACGC